ATGCTATTGCTGTTGACATCACATGGAATTGCTGTTTGCACTTTACCGGATTGCGGGTGGAATACCGCTCCTCTGTTTTTTATGCTGTTTCTAGCGGATTGAGACATTTGGGAAGCGAGAAGTTGATTCTTAAACCACCAGTACCTTCCGCATTTTTCGTACCCCCCGGCCTCGAATGAATTTGGTCCGGAGGGGGCAGGCCGATTCGGCTTCCACGTTAACGACCGCCCCAATCGGCAGGTACTGGTCGTTTAACAGCACACACACAAGGTTAAGGGGTGGGAGCTGGCTGACGAGGCATTTCTGATCTTATCAGCCAGCCAATGTAAGCCATCGTGGAATCAAATTGTGAAAATCTGGATCCATCTGCCCGCACTAAAAAAAGGAAGAAACTGTAAGAGATGGGCAAGCCAAGGACCATACCCCAAGGACCATACCCCAAGGACCGCACCGCAAGGAGTGTACCCCTTTCGATTGAAAATAAAATTTCCGAAATTCCGAAAGCTTTGCTAAAAAGTTGAGACCTGCTGGGGTGGGTTGGGAAGGGGGGGACCGCAGAGCAGGGAACACAAAATCGGCTTAGAAAATTTGACAGACTTGGAGAAATAAAAATGCAAAAAAAAAAAAAAAAAAAAAAAGTCGCCGCAGAATGGCGAGGAGCCATCCTTGACCAAAAAAAAATATTTTCGAATTTTCACCGTTTTCAAGGGACACAAAAAAAAAAAAAAAGGATTTAGGTCCTTTCAGGGTCGGCTGCGAGGAGTGTGTGGGGCTCTTCTGACGCAAGAGGTTGAACTTGGGTGTGAAAAAATGTGGCCTGCAGCAGGAGCTGCAGAAAACCTGTGCTCTGCGGGGTTTAGGTTTTAGGGTACTCACTTCTCAGTTTCTGGTAATTATTATGATGAAATAATAAAGTATGAAAAGTTGAAAACAAATGGCCTTGTCGACTGCTAAACATTCTGCATGTATCTGTACAGGCCCATGGACTCGATACATTCTGACGCAAGAGAAATGAACTTGGGTGTAAAATGTGATCTGCAGGAAAAGTTGCAGCAAACCTGTGGTCTGCTTTCGGATGTAATCGACGATCTTAAGGATTACGAGTCGAACAGCGATGACGACTGGGAAGAAAGAGGTGACGTCTTGGTGGACGACGCGTCCGACATTTACGAGAAGCTTCTGGAAGCCCTGAAGGGAATGAACCCTTCGCATCCAGGACATGAAAAAGCCGATCTGGACTGGCTGTATGACGCCACCAAAAATGCAAAGGACATTCTTGGCGAGGCGGAGGAAGCAATGGGGACAAGGATGGAAAGGAAATTGAAAGAGAACAAGGTCAATCGCGCAAATCGTAAAAAAGGGGGAAGAAACGACGATCGCAGCACGGTCGGCGGTGCAGAGATGCTAGAGAACAATCAGAAGAACAGAGGTAAAAAGCAGCAATCAGCAAACAGAGGAAAGAAGAATAAGAAAAGGTGATGAAACATGGCCACTTGGGGCCCCTCCC